CTTAGAGGAAATTTGAAATCCTCGGACTCTTGAGGTCCGAAGATGAATTTTATTCCTCGGCAGCTCTTTATGCCTTAGAGGAAATTTGAAATCCTCGGACCCTTGAGATTCGAAGACGAATTTTATTCCTTGGTAATTCTTTATGCCTTAGAAGAAATTTTGTTTTTTGACGCACCTTTTTTTTTTTTTTTTTTTTTTTTTTTTTCAACGCTTTGACGCTACATATAGTGTAGCTGCATAGTTGGGCTATTTGCCACTTCACTTGGGGATCGATCTTTATTGCAATGCGAATAAATCAAACCCAAATATTAAAACATGGAGCAAATATAAAATTATTCGTAAACAAAGTTATCAGAGACATGTAAAATAATTACACGTAGCATATAGCAACTGATTGAAGGAATATATCACAATTGAATTTTTAATTAGAAATTCTAATTAGCAACAAATATTTTCTCGTTCTTGTTTATCACATACATTGAAATTATTCAATGTATGTAGTAGGACTTCAAGTAATTGACCAAATAGCACAGCTCGTGAATTCAACAATGCCTTTGACCTCGGATCTTTATTCAAGTATAAATTTCAGAAGTCAATGTAGATGGTCAAACTCTTCTTTTAGTTAAGAAGTGATGAAGTAGTACATCCCTCTAGACAGTCTGAACCAACAATATCAAGTGTTGTGGTCCTAAGGTTCTGATCAATTATCAACCTTCATTGAACAACTAATATATGTATATATATACATATATAATATTGATGTATATATGTATATAGTTTTTAAGAAAAATTTAACAGTAAAAATCAAGTTGGGAAACTTATCTGAGACCCATCACCACGTTGTGTCTGAAAAGGCTTATGTCAATGCGTGGTGGTTGGAAAAGGGCTGGGTTCAAATCCCAGAGAGTCACATTGCTGGAATTCGTTTGCTGGGCTTCGTATGGATGAAAGTCACGTTGGAGATTTCAATTTAAAGTATTGTGACTTTTGGTGTGTTGCGCGTTGTGGTTGGACGGTTGCACTTGTTGTGCAAAGATCTAGCCGTGAGGAACACGAGCTTCGAAGTCTGCCAGGTGTGGAGAGCTTCGGTACCGGCTGGCGGTTGGAAAGGATTGGATTCAAATCTTAGAGAATCACTTTGCTGAATTTGAACGCGCACATCACGTTATTGGCCTTTCACCTGGATGAATACCGATTGTAATTTTGGTGATTAGAAAGGGATAGGTTCAAATCCCATGCATCACGTTATTGGTGTAACGTGATCTAAGACAAATAACTAATTACTCGTGGGAGTATATTTCTATACGTTTCCCACAGACGGCGCCAAAGCGTAGGTGCAAAAATTCGTTCAACTTTGACAAGTCAACGAAATCTCTACAATTACTACACCCAAAATAATAATAGAGAAAAAACAACGAACTAGGAATATTATATAAAGATGAGGGGGTATTTTGATGATATGACTGAACCTAGGATTACCCAGATTGCCTACGTATCCCACCTCATGGGGCGTGAGAATTAGGTCAAAACGTAGTTCTGATAATGAAAATTGGATCTCTATTTGGGGGCTTTGCCCTTTTTTCTGTGTGTCCCCTATTGAGGGTCCTAAGTCCTTTTTATATAGCAAAAAACCATAATCGATTCGTTTTAGGACTCGCGTTGCTTGTCCCTTTAGAATCTAAATTACATCATACTATCCTTATAATAAGGATTTACAATATTTGGTTTCCATAGATTATAATCCTTCTTCTAATAAAACTGTTACTAAAATGAGTTTAGTAATATATTCATAATTGAGCTTGAGGTCTCATTATCTAGGGCCTTCTTAATGAGTTCAGCTCATTATGCTTAGTTAACCCGGCCCAAGCTTTTTGTAGAGGCCTAGTTTGAAGGTTGAATAGTCTCAGTGTTTGTGGTGGTCCCCATTATGTGCTGATGTGTCTTGACTTAATTGGAAGAGGAGATTTTTGCCCCCACAAGCGACAACAAAATTATTATCTTGAAGGCTTGTTTCTTAGATGTTGGTATAAAACTAAAGTACTATGTAAGGAGAAAAATTACCATCCATCTTTGTGAAAAAGAGCCATTTGTTTGTCTCAATGTATTCCACAAGCGTCTTAATTTCCAGCATTGTTTCGAAGCTTATTAAGAAGCACATTTCGCTCGATTTTGATTAGCCCATCCTTGTGGACATTATTAAAAGTCTTCCAGGCATCTTCATTGAAGAAGTGATCTAGAGTGAACTCAATCTTCCCGGTAGCTGATACTGATGGATACCCAGCTGGTATTGCCTATGGAGGAGCATTGGGAGCCAGGGAAGGAGTAGAAGCAACCGGAGGGGTGCTTGTACCCATTTGAGGTTCTCGGATTTGAATTCTGATTCTAGCCCACTTTGGCGGCCTTTCGGTGTCAATTGCTTTGCCCTTGGCCTTTGAGGATGCCTTTAGAGCCATTTTGATTCACAAACTTTTTGCTTTGAGGCTTCCAAACTCTTTCGGTAATTTTGTCGAACACCCGGTGTGTAACCCCAACTTGTTCTTTACACAAACTTGATTTAATCCTCTACAATCCACCCAAAATGTCAAAGAAGTAGAAAAATATCACAATCAACAACATTATTCTCCTCAAATATTTGAGTTCTCAACACACAATTAACCAAATCTTCAAGATATATCCCAAGCTCCAAAAATCTCAAACCCAAACACCAAATTTCATCAAATCCAATACAATTCTTCTTCTCCAATGTCACAATGATGTAATGGAATACCAATTTGCAAGAAGAAAATGAAGATTATATGAAGTTATGATGCAAACTTAATGATATATATATTTATATATATGGAGGCAAGATGGAGAGAGAGAGAGAGAGCGCAAAAACTCGCGGCCAAAGTGGGTTCAAAATGACCCAAGAGTGCGCGAAACGTGCGACTTAAGTGCCCAGATTTGGGGGTCTCGAACCTATTCAGGCTGTCTCGAACCGATTCAAGTCTGGCAGTTGCAAAACTTAAAGCAACTTTGTGCACTTGAATAGGTCGGGCTGGTTGTTAGTTCGTTTATTTATTTAATAAAAGAGTTGGTTTATTTGTTTGTTAATTAAATAAATATTTTATTTAATACTAATTTATTTATTTAATGGTCTTGTACTAACAAGTGTTGAATACAACGTTTGTTAAATTCATCAACTAACACTTGAATTGATATATCCTTGATATATTAATTTTCACATCAAAAAAAGATTAAATAAGATTGATTGAATTTATAGCAAAAGTCGTAACATAAGCAAAAAGTATAAAATGGCTTATTCACCTCCCCCTTTAAGTCATATCTCAAGATCATAACTATTGCATTTTTTTACTGTGATTGACTATAATCTCAGTCGAGACCTCTTCAATTAAACTCACTCCTGAACTAAGATGATAGAATTATATCATTGTGTGACTTAAGGTATCCACATAATATATATTAGTTTTCTTTGTTTGCCAAAAAAAAAAAAAAAAAAAATTCCAATCAAAGTATCACTCTAGCATCTAGAACCCTAACGTAATTTTATTATTTTTTATTTTTATATACCGTGGGACAAAGAGATCTTTTTCTCATGCAATGCTAGTAAGGAGATTCAGTTTTGCCAATTGAGTGATAAAGGAGTTAATATATCTAATGTTGGCTTCATTCTCCTTCAGAATTAATTCTCTTGGCTATGTTTAAGGAATTGAAAGGACGTGCTTCATTAATTGTAATCCCTAAACAACCCCTTCTCATCAATTGCCTATAGAACAATAATACCTCAACCATCATCAACACCAACCTTTACTTACAAACACTTAAGTGTTTACGAATTCACCCTTGCCCGGCAAAGTTCTCTAGTGCTTACTCCGGCAAGTCTGGTGCATCCCTTCGAAGCGCCGACTTTGCCGCCACCTATCAACTCCAACCCAAACCCATCAGTGGCTAAGATTTGCCTCTCCCATCACATTTCTCATCTCTCTACGTCCATTTCAACAGCACAAGTAAAATGGGATAAAATTGTCATTTCAATTAATTACAAGAAAAAGTGGATCGATTTTTTTGGGTAGACCCTCTTAATTTGGAGGATGTATTATTGCTCCTCTCAAATTTTAATTGCATCAACAACACACATGAAGCACAAATTCGTGCACCAAAACAACGTAAATTATTTGTGAACACGGTACTGCCCAAAAGAAAGTCATGCATCATGTCTGTGACTCTGTAGTGCACTTGAGCATTGCAGCCCAAGGACATATGGGCTTCTAGCCGATATCATCATACAGTAGTTTTTAAAATAAGCATTCTTAATTTTACTTCTTTGGGCTCACAATTAAGAGGAAGGCCCAAAACAAAATAAATGCAGTAAACGTGGGTAAAGCCCACCCTAAAGAATTGCCAGAGCCCAGAGTGGCTTAGCCCAACAAAATCAAAGAGCTGATGCCTGATGGAGATGACCGTTGCTCTAATCTTGGAGATTGCAAATGTTGAAAAAGATGAGTTTTAGTGTTTTTCTATTGTGATGGCAGTGAATGAAATATTAAATCTATCCACAGTGAATTTACAAAGATGTGATACTTTACTTTGGTAATGCTAAAATAAATAAATAAATAAAATAGTGTTTTGACTTTTCAAATAAAAAATTTATTTTGGAACCTAGAAATGCAAATATTTATTATAAGATGGAGGGCGCAGAAAGAAATCCGAAAAGGGTATGGTATTTTAGAGAAGGAGAAGAAAAAGCTTTCCTCTATGAACTGCATCTTCTCCAAAAAAAAAAAAAAAAAAAAAAATCTCTCTGAATAAGAAATTTTTATTTTTTATTTATTTATTTTTAAAACCATGGAGTGAGGTTTGAATAAATTCTTGGACCTACACATATACACATCCATAAATCTGCTTTTTGGCCCACACCATATGCTAAGTTGTACCCATCAATGATGAATCTTTCTTGGGTTTTCTCATGCACGGGGAGGTTTTTGGCTTTTAAAGTTTAAACCCTAAAAAAAATTTTAAAAAAATATCTAACAAAATATCCTGTAACATAATTTTACATCAAATAAAGTTTACATCAGATTGCAATTATCCAGAAAAGGAAGCGCAGAAAAATACAACAAACCTCAACAGAACCACCACCTCTTCTTCACAAGCTACATTCTCCTCCTGGCCATTGACACAGTATTCCCATCAAACAGTTCCTCAATCAACCCTTCAATATCTTCCGGTTGATACTTTATATACTTCCTCTGTCCAGCTGAATCCAATTGTTGCTGGAACCTCGCCACAAACGACCGGTAAGCCGGTATCACCACCGCCGATATCGAAACCCTAAGCTCAGACTGAAGCTGCTCATCAGTCACCACCCACGCACCTTGTGTCTTGTGTATCTCTTCAAACATTACGCTAAAGTTCTTGAACCTCTCTTTCAACACAGGCTTCACCACCTTCCCATTCACTTGCAAGCCCTCATGGTTCAGACACTGCAGGACTTTTCCCCATGTTTCTCTCTGGTAATTCTTGTGATACTGCCTCAGCTCTGACGACACTCTCCGACGCCACGTGTCGCCCATCAATTCGTGGATCTCGGTCGACCCTTTGATCTTCTGTAGTATGTATCTACCATTGTTCATCAAGAATATGCAACGCAATGAGGGGTCCCTGTATAGCTTTGACTTTGCCACCAGATTTGAATCCAACAAGTCCGTGATTTTTAGCAGCTGATCTGAATATGATGAACACTTGTCCACCGTCTGATTAATCTTGTTCCTAGACTCTTTCTCTTTCTCATTCTCATTCGGGTTATCTGTTTTGATCTGTTTGAAGATGTGTTCTAGTGTGTCCTTGTACTCGCAGGCGTATTTTAGATAATTCATGACGTAGCGCGTCAAGGGGTGAACTGCGCCTCCTGGGACCGGAGTTTTTGCGGCGTCGTTCCTGATAGAGTTCTCCAGATCGGAGAAGATGCTCATGGCGGCGTCACCAATTCGGTCACAGGCGGTGGATATCTCCGATGTCAGTTCTTCTCGGCAGTCGTCGGTGCAAGACTCGGAGATCGCCCGAATTAGATCTCGGAGAGTCTCGTGGATGTCGAGCAATTTGAAGAGCTTCTCCGCCGATCGCTTCGTCAGCCCCACCGCCTCGGCGAAGTCAAGGAACTGGATGACGATGGGGCGTGCGATGCTGCTGAACAGGTTTTTCGAGATGGATCGATCGTCGCCGGAGAAGACGGCGTCAGAGAGTCTGCTCTCGCCGGGGAATAGCACGGCGGAGCAGTACTTCACGACTTTGATCCACCCCGTGATCTGACCTTCCAGAGCTTCCCATTGCATTCTCTGTATCTGGTCGATGCTGATCTTCTCGAATTCGATCTCTTTCAATGCTTCGTTGAATGCGTTTCGTCTTACAATGCCAAACACCTGACAACACTCTCTTCCGTACCCGGCCGAGATCATCCCGGTCGCGATTGCGTTCATCTTCTTCACCACTTCCGGCGAGTACTCCGGTAAATTAACCTCGCCGGTCGGCTCAGACTCTGTCAAAACGCAACGATCGGACTCTTCCTTCGAATTGAATCTTCTAGAATTTTCTAGAAGAGCGCAAAACAATTCTTCCGATACGGACATGGCTTTTTGCAGTACCATGCTGGTTCGGTCTAGTATGGCTGTGGTGGTCTTAAAACTCGAAGACAATTGACTCAACGCATTTGTCAATTTTGATATACGAGTTGCAGCTGCGATAAAAAACGTGTCATCCTCGGTCATTGTGACGAGCTTCATCTGAGTTTCGCCGGAATTGAACTTATCAATTTTGGATTCAACAATCTTCAAATAAGTCTCGACGGCTTCCGGAGCTTCCGGCGGGCTCGACGTGTCATCGACGGAGGAGAGAGCATCGATGAATCGGTCAATGTCATCGGAGAGTTGATCGACGTTGTGATGCTGATCGGAAAATGATTCCTCAACCATAACATTATCTCTATCCATACTGTCCCATACTTGTCTCTGACGATCAAAATTGTTTGATTTTCCATTGACGGTGGCTACATTGGGTGATCTTGGAGTGACAGTGTTGTTCTTCCTCCAACTTTTGATACTACCGAATTTCTCAGGAGGATTCTTCTCCATGAATTCGGCTACTTTTCGATTCACAACTTATTCTCTGTTTCGATTGATTTGTAGGGTTTGGAGGATCGAAAAGGGGCATGAATTTCAGAGCGGAAATGAAGGAGATTGATACGTATATTAGGTACGCATATGGTTTTGAAATGGTTATTTGTGTTGTGACGATGGAACGAAGAGTGAGTGGGGGAGTGTACGGATGTGTTTTTTCTGTTTCGTGGCCGTTTGTTTTGGTCGGTGGTGGTTGAATGTTGACCCGCTTGAGAAGGTCCTTCTAGTTTGTGCTCGCCACGACTTGTAAAGCTTTGCTTTTGCTTTCCACAGTCAACTCTCGGCGTTTGGGTAGTGGCCACCATTTTCAGGTGCCCAAACTATTACTCTCCTATTATGCCGCAAAAGTCTCACCTACTGAAGAATTAGTGTGTTCCAAAAATCTCACTACTCACGAGCAATGCATTATAGTTTTTTTTTTTTTTTTTTTTTTTTTATCTCACCTACTGAAGAATTAGTGTGTTCCAAAAATCTCACTACTCACGAGCAATGCATTATAGTTTTTTTTTTTTTTTTTTTTAAAAAAAAAAAAAAAATTGCTTGTAAGACCTTTTCTAGCCCAATAAATTTTCAGTCATAATATTTAGTCCTACCTTTTGATAAGACCCTATATATTAGTTCTAAATAATAATATCTCAAACTTCCACTACATTTTAATCTAACTTTGGGTTAAAACGAAAGTGGGTCCTGCAAATAGTTTGAGGTGGGTTGATTTGTTCAAAAGCGTTTTGGGGTGAACGAGAAATCGTGTCCCAACGTATGGTGGTTAATAAGCTTTAAAAGAAGGGTTTAAATGGGTCTGTGGGGAAAAAAAAAAAAAACTTGTCCAACGTTGCAATCTAATGAAAACTTAATTGGTATATATATAGAAGTGTGGTAGTGAAGGTCAGAACTATATAGTAAGTCGTGGTTATGGACTATATCCATGTGGGCTTGACCCAAGCACGCAAACCACAAATGCGCCACGGGCCGGTTCGGTCTGTGGACATTGAGTCAATAGATATGTTCTTTTGTAGTTGGGTACAAATGTGAGATTTTAGAACCCAAATAAAACCGAACCAACTGTAATTCGGATTAGCCCACAATACCGAAGCAGTTGAGCCCAATTAAAGGTGCTTATATCTGAATAGGTGCAATGGGTGGTTGTGTCCGAATGTGTGACGGTTAAACCAACGTAACCCAAGTCTGAAAGGGTGCAATTGGGTGAACCATAACAACCCATACCTGTTTGGGTTGGACCCAAGAGGCACCAATTCATCTACAATACCGAAACCCCTATGGTTCCTGTATGGGTTGCATCCAAGAGGCACCAATTCATCTATAATACCGAGCCCCCCAGGGTTCCTCTCCTCTCTCCTAATAAACCAATGAACCTAAGTGCATTCTAGCCTATGAAGCACGGACACCCCTCACAAGTCCCATATCAATGTCGGACACGTGTCCAACATTTATGTGAAGTGTTCATAAATTATTTTTTATTAGACACGATGTGGACACGGATGGGACACGCGGGGGACACGTACTGGACATTGTGGGGTATATTTTGTAATTTCTTTTAAGAAAAATGGGATACCTAATGTAATTTTAGAAGTTTAAAAGTAAAATTTTGAAAAAATTAAAAAACAATTACACATTAAATTTAGTTCACTAAAGTCTAAATAGACAAATCTGTGCCCTAGGATCCAAAATTCCCAAATCCTCCATTCTTCACGACTGCCCAAAGGCGATTCCTCTCCTCAGAGTCGACTACGAGCTCAGCAGCTCTCTACCAGATTTTTCGTCTCTGCGGTGTCTACTACGACGACTCCACCAAGTAGGTTTCTTTTCTCTCACTTCCCCTCTTATCTTCTTCAACTATCTCTGTACATATTTGGAACAAAGCTCTAAGTACATCAACAAGACTTTTTTTTTTTTTTTTTTTGAAAAGTTACATGAAAAACACTTTATGAAAGACTGAAAGTATATATGTTTATTCATGTACATACTTAGCCCATTATGGCTATGTCTATTCTGCACATCTTCGTTTGGATCAACTCTATTTTTCATTTATTTTCAATTTTGTCTTGTTTGTGTTTTTCTTATAACAGAGATGAAATTAATGAAATTGGTCCTTTGACTCTTTTGTTTATCAGTGATTCTGAACTTCTGCTTTTCTTAAATTTTATGATTCCATTATGTTTATTTTTTTATTTGATTCATTCATCTCAGTACTGGAATTAAATAAACTTTTAGACCGTAGCGAGAAAAACAGAGAGAAATCAGAACAATTATATTTATGAATGTGTGTAAAATGTAAACTATAAAGATATGAAGCACCCACATGTGGCATGTGGTTGTTTGATTGACTGTAATTTGTAGTTGTTTTATTTGGAATTTTGTATTTATATATACCTGTTTGTTATTAGGAAAATGAATGCGCAAGGTTCTAGTAGTGGGGTTGAACCTGATGACAACACCCCTCTTTGGAGATACATTAAAAAGTTTGAAAAGGTTGGAGCCGGGATGAGAGGGAAATATAAATTTTCAATTCAATTATTGTCAAGGGCATTTTAAAGGATCATACTATACAGTGAAAGCGCATTTTCTAAAAATCTCAGGCCGTGGCGTTCAAGTATATAAAAAAGTGACTCGTGATCATATAGCTGAAATGCAAAGGTTAGTTGATGAAGCTGAAATAAGAATTAAGAGAAAGATGCCAAAACATGTTCCTTTGCCACCTTCCACAAAGTCAAGCAAAATTGGCTCTTCATCAAGTGCAAATGTAAGCACAGGAGGTGGGCCATTTATGCATGATACTTTTGAACCAAGAAAGAGGAAAACTAGTTCGGCGATTGAAAAAGCATTTAATCTTAGTGCTCGTGGAGAATTGCATAGTGAAATTACAAGAATGTTTTACTCGACCGGTTTGCCTTTTCACCTTGCAAGGAACCCACACTATGTTGCCTCCTACACTTATGCCTCTAATAATAGTATTAGTGGCTATATTCCTCTCAGTTACAACTTGTTGAGGACTACTCTTCTTCAAAATGAAAGAGCAAACATAGAGAGCTTGATGATTCTAATTAAAGATTCTAGGAAGAAAAATGGCGTTACTATTGTTTGTGATGCATGGACGGATCCACAAAGGAGGTCGATCATCAATATTATGGCCATGAGTGTAAATGGGCCTATGTTCTTAAAAGCAATAAATTATGAAGGTGAAATCAAAGATAGATTTTTCACCTCCGAGTTGATCAAGGAGACCATTCAAGAGGTTAGACCCGATAATGTGGTCCAAGTTATTACCGATAATGCTCCTGTTTGTAGGAGTGCGGGATAGATTGTTGAAGTCCAATTTTCGAAAGTATTTTGGACTCCTTGTGTGGTTCATACCCTCAACCTCATTTTGAAAATATTTGTGCGGCCAAAAATACCGATGCCAATTAAGTTGTTTATCTAGAATGCCATTGGATTACAACTATTATTGATGATTGTATGCGTATTAAAAATTTTATAATGAATCATTCCATGAGATTGGCAATGTTTCATGAAAATGTGAAATTAACCATGCTTTCTATTGCAGAGACACGTTTTGCTTCAATGAATGTGATGCTAAGAAGATTTAAGCAAATAAAATGCGGTCTCCAAAACATGGTCATAAGTGATTTTTGGGCATCTTATAAGAAGATAATGTTAAAAGGGCCTTAACTGTCAAGACAAAAATAGTAAGTGATGATTCGTGGTGAGATATTGATTACATAATTACCTTTACTGAGCCAATCTATGATATGGTGAGGAGGGCCAATATGAATGTTCCTTATCTTCACTTGGTGGATAAGATGTGGGACTCCATGATAGCTAAAGTGAAGGCCACTATTTATCATCATGAAATAAAGCAAGAGCATGAGGAGTCTTCATTCTTTTTGGTGGTGCGCAAAATATTAATTATTAGATGGAGTAAGAACAACACACCCCTTCATTGCTTAGCACATTCCTTGAATACAATGTAATTTTTAATAATTTATACATTTTTTAGGTTCTAATTTGATTTTTTTGTCAAATTAACTTTTAGCTATCATTTTGTCACTTCGAGGTTTTATAGCACACAATGGCTTCAAGAGGCTTCCAATCGTATTCTTCCACATAAAGATCAAGAGATTTCAAGTTTAAGAGAAAAATGCTTCCAAAGGTACTTTACTAATGATGTGGAGAGAATGAAGGTTACAGAAAAGTATGCTTATTTTTTGACGGGTTTTAGAGCGTTTGGATCGGTTGAATCCTTGAAAGATAAGGACTTATAGAGCCGGCAATTTGGTGGGTTTCTTATGGAGCTTCAACACCCCAAATCCAATCTTTGGCTTTGAAGGTACTTGGACATCCTTGTTCCTCCTCATGTTATGAGAGGAATTGAAGTACATATTCTTTATTCAATCTTTGAAGAGGAACAAGATAGCACCACAAAGAGCCGAAGATTTGGTATTTGTACATTCCAATCTTCGTCTTCTATCAAGGAGACTCCACAATATAATGTGGGTGAAACTAAGATATGGGATGTTGGGGGGAGGTACATTTGATTCCTTAAAGGGTAATGGAATACTTGAGATTGTAAATCTTTCACTTGATGAACCAGACTTGGAGGCCATGATATTTACCGATGAGAGGGATGGAAATGACGATAAGTTTCTAGAAGATCCAACTCAATGAAGAGGATTATAGAGTTCCTTTTCTTTTTTGGGCTTTCTCTTATTTGTTATCAATTGATCACTGTTATGTTATTATTCTTATGTGATCACTGGCCAATGATGAAAGATGCACATATTGTAGATTTTTGGTTATTGAACTTATGACTTTTAGATGATAAATTAAGAATGTTGAACTTAGGCGATGAACTGATGAATGAAGAATGTTAAACATGTTGGAAATGTACTTGATCTTATTTGTCTAATTTTGTTGATAACTTTGCTTGGTTCTTAATT